TAGGGTTAGGTTTAGGGTTAGGTTAAGGTTTAGGGTTAGGTTTAGGGTTAGGTTTGGGGGGGTTAGGTTTAGGTTTACGCATTAATTTCAGCTTTACCGCTCACAGTGTGCTTTTTTCGTCACGCTGTGATGACGTCAGGTACGCGGTTTCGTCGAGCGCGCTTTAGTCGACCGTGGTTTTGTGATAGAACCTCACTTACATTCTATTCTGTCATTCACAGGACAACAAATTCTAGTCAAGAAGAAGATGACCCTTGTGATAGTTAGCATTTTATAGTGTGAGGAACAGGCTGTTGGAGAAATGACTAGTTGAGGGGAGTTTAATTAAGAAAAGAATCAGTCGGCTGTTATCATTCCTATATTGCTCATTTCAGTTTCTGTTGAGATTCCTTCTTGGGGAGTTAGTAGCATTGGATTGTTAGTTTGTTTTTTTGTATTTAATTTTCACAGATATAATGATCTGAAAGGAAAAGAGCTTAGCAGTTGATTTTTAGTTCCTTTTTAAATAGGTACCAAAGGACATAGGCTTAGTTTTCCTTCTTCAAGAAAAAGTAGGAAATAAGAATTATCTTAAAACAAAGCTAAATTTGTGCTATGTAAGGTTTGAAATGTTTTATTTTTTTAAACTGAATTAAGTAAAATAGAATAAAATAGCCCTTGGGAACATGTTAAGATAGTTTTGTATGTAATTTTATTCATATTTTGGTTTTCTACAATATTAAAAGTGAAAAAATATTCCCCTCTTCCAAAGTAAACGTGTGACTGCTGAGCTGAGTTCTAGGATTAGATGGGTAGTTTCCATATCTGGTTAGAGTAGTCCAGCATTGTATGTACCAGTAGAAGACAATACATATGGCTCAAGGTTCAACTATGGGATCCTTGATGCTCTCTGAGCTTGGTGGTTTTCTTGCTGTCACTGATGATGATATCTAGTTGGGTAATGAAATGTCTATAAGAAAACAACCAAGTTCAGAGAGCACTAAGGATCCTGCAGTATTGTACGTGAAAGTCTCATAGTGCTGATTGTCTTAGGTTTTGGAGAAAATTGATTATCAGGGCCTTACACTGTATGGGAAGATACTAACATTGTTTCACCGTTGCATCCATAAAACAGTAATGTCTGTAATTGGGCTGGTTTCTAAAAGCTTACCGTGTCCCAGTTGAGGAAAAGTAATTGCATCTCTTAGGCTGTAAAAGAATTCCAGCAGGCCAGCTCTCTTTCCATGTCTATTTCTAAACCATATTCAATGGAATTTATATGTATTCCATAGCTTCTGGAAAGCAGGTAGTGGTTAATGTACTTTTGGATTATTTTTGTTTTTACAATGTATTGATTTATTTTCTGTCCGGGGAGAATTCACCAATTGGCAGCTTTCCCTGTTTCTTTCTCCCAGTTGTTCCCTACCCATGATTAATTTTTTAAAAATTAGGAAACCCAGATCCTTGACGGTCTTAATCGGTTTGCGTTTCTCTTCCTTTCTAGTCATTGAAGAAAGTTGGTCAAGATTCTATAGTGCTGCTAATCTGCATCACGGTCTTCCTCTCCTATCTCCCTGAGGCAGGCCAGTATTCCAGCTTCTTCTTGTACCTCAGACAGGTAAGCATTTGCCTAATTGTGTTTATTGCCCACATTTGATTCGTAAAAATGAAAGTGAATATAGCCATGACTTAACTAATAGATTAGGGTCCTAATTTTTGGTATCTTGTTCCAATAGAATAAAAAGTTTCCATTTTAATGCAATTTGGAATTGCTATCCTTAAGAGCAGATTTCTTTCATTAAAAAGTGACTTCTGTTCAGACTCTTAATTCCATAGAGTAAGCTCCACATACTGTAATGTTGTTCTTAAATAGGGGAACGGGTTATCTTGATTTCTTAAATATTTTATGAAACAAACTTCTATTATCTATGCATTTGCGTGTGAGTTATTCATAATTCATCATAATCCTCTACCATGGAATTTCTCTTTTTTTAAAAATTAGATAATGAGATTTTCATCAGAAAGTGTCGCAGCATTTATCGCCGTCCTTGGGATTCTCTCCATAGTGGCACAGGTAATCGTAACTGAGAAAAATACACTCGCGGAGTTTCTGCCAGTACTTTTTGTTCAAGTTGGTTGATAAATCCGGGCTTGTGGAATGGATTCATTTTGATAACTTTCTGGAATGATACGGTAGAAATTGTCACTAGATTCCTCTATCCCCCCACCTCTCATATACGGGCAGCCCTTAGCTTCTCTGATGAGGACAAGCATGGAAGAGCAGCCGGTTCCTCTTGAAGGAGGGAGGTGAAGGTCAAGCTTTGCATTGATGTAATTATCACAGCAATCGGATCTCCGAAAAGCCCTGAATTTTTTTTCTCTTTGGCCTTTTTCTTTCCTCAGACGATAGTTCTGAGTTTACTTATGAGATCGATTGGAAACAAAAACACCATCTTACTTGGTCTTGGATTTCAAATATTGCAGCTTGCATGGTACGGTTTTGGCTCCGAACCTTGGTAAGCATTTTTTTCATTATATTGCTGTTTTATTATTGTTACACCCATGGTGCAGTCTTTGGTTAATTCAGCAGAGGTTTTTAACATGTCCCTCAGTAGTATGCCTCCCGTTGATGTTTTAGCGCCAGCTACAGGTAGTCTTCGACTTACAACAGTTCATTTAGTGACCAGTGAAAGTTACAATGGCACGGAAAAAGGTGCCTTATGACCACTTTTCACACTTATGACCATTGCAGCAGCCTCATGGCCACGTGATTTACATTTGGATGCTTGACAACTGACTCACATTTATGAGGGTTGCAGTGTCCTGAGGTCAGGTAATCTCCTTTTGCAACCTTCTGAGGAGCAAAGTCTACGGTCGTACGTCGAGGACCACCTATATTAACTTTGTTTCTGTTTCAGTTTATTGTATTTATATGCCGCCCTTTTCCCCCGAAGGGGACTCAGGGCGGCTCACAACTCAAACCAGGGAAGGGGGATACAGACAAAAAGTTTAAAAACAAAGCATAACAATGCATAATGCATAATTTAAAACATGACAGTCATACCATTCGAG